AGACCTGATCTGGCCTCTGCCCCTGGAATCTATGTAAATCCACCTGCTCCTTGGAGCCGGAATAACCCTCTCCATATCTCTCCTGCATCCCACTTTTCTAGCATTCCAGTGAGCCATTGAGATCCCTAAGAACATTCCAAGCCCACACCCACAAAATTCCAAGCAAATTGATATGTTTAGAGCCCAGCCTGTACCACAGCATAGGCCCACAGTGCTATTGGGAGCCAGAGATTTGGTTTACCTGGAAAAGAAGGATGGCCAGCCAGTAGGGGAGAAAAGGAGATCTTGATTTCTCCTCTACCAGGGTGCAGGCAGTGTCCACAGATGTGAATTACAGTGGTTCAGTCTCCCCTCAGACATACACTTCCTCCCATACCTTGCGTAAACTGAAAGCTTTCTTAGCTTTGGCTGTCCCCATTAGGCCATCTGATTACTGTGTCCTCAGAGGCCCAGTGAGGATCAGTGCCCTCTACTTTATGCTTTTTCCCCCCAAACTGGCCCTTTTTTGGCTTTTTAATTCCCTGGGAGCCCCCTAAATTCTCCCTGTCACTTAGTTCCCTCCTGCAGCAGGTCCTCATTTTCTCTGGGAATATATTCCAGTATCTCTTCTTGCAGAAGCAGAGTAAGGCAGAGGCTAGCCTCCCAACCTGTGAAATGAATCTGTGGTGGTGGCCTTCTCCAGTCCTAGGTAGAATGCAAGCTGCTCTAGGAAGGTCAGGCCCATGAGGGAGCCTCCTGGGATGTCAGCCAAGACCAGCACCTGACGCACTCTAACTGAGATCCTAGAAAATCCTGCCAGGACCCCATGAGTTAGCTTTCTTGATGACTCTGGCTTTGGACCCCAGCCACCACCACTGCTTTGACTTCCCTGTTAGCAGTTTATTCCCAAATTTCAACCCCCTCATGGGCACCAATATATTGAGGTGATGACAGGACTTTGGATGCTGGTATGGCAGTATTTTGGCCAGGGACTTAGGAATGCCCAGGTGCTTCCCAAGGAAGCTATATCCATAGGAAATAGCCAGAAGACTCAAAGACACTTATATTAATACTTATACCCAATCACCAGCAGTTCTGAGGGTTTTCACTACAGTCTAAAATCAAAGAATTTATGTGGCTTAGGCTGAAGATCAAAGTGGGCCTCCTGCTCCCACCCACTATAAATCATAAAGGACACCCCTTCCTAGCTACATGTACAGAGGTATAGAAAAGCAAGAGACAGTGGCAAGGCCCTTCCCCTTGACCTTACCCACCTAAACACAGAGCGGATGGGGAAACACAGGGTGGATAAAGGAGAAAGATCAAAGTTTCATGCCTTTTAATGAGTGGAGGCATCACCTACTAAGAGTTGGGAAGTGTGTAGGCAGAGGGGGCCTGCATTGGCTTCCCTAAACACTTGCCTGGAATTCACTGGAACAGCTTAGTACATTGTCTTCTAATTTTTCCAGTTACAATGTGTATGAGAGCAAGTACCATCTTAATCATCTTTATGTAGCCCCTGCTCAGTAATTTATTGGATATAAAACATGCCCAATAAATATATGTTAAGCTAAAAGAGAATATAATTAAGATTTGTAATAACTTACTTTTTTGAGCTATGTGGCAAAAAATAAAAAGTACAATGACGTAGAAGTTTTAAATGTTCTCTTCTTTAAAAAAAAAATAGCAACTACAGAACAGCTTGGTGGAATTTGGAAAACCATGGAAGATGAACCCAGGAGATGGAGCATTTTATGGCCCTAAAGTAAGTAGACTATATGCCTCAAAAAGAGTAAAAATTTAAAGGAAAAATAAAAGCTGTCTTTAAACAAATATCATTTAATTTACAGATTGATATAAAAATCAAGGATGCTATTGGCAGATATCATCAATGTGCTACAATTCAGCTGGACTTCCAACTACCTATTAGATTTAATCTTACATATGTTAGGTGAGTAATTGAATATGACAAATAAAGTATTACTAATATGCCAATCATTTGTCATTTGAACATTAGCAATACAAAAATAAACATCAATACATGGACTAGTAAATGTCTATTACTGTATGTGTGATATACTCATATATTTTTTATATATGATTTTTTCAAGTTTTTATTTAAATTCCAATTAGTTCACATACAATGTAATATCAGTTTCAGGTGTACAATATGGTGACTCAACACTGCCATACAACACCCAGTGCTCATCACACATGCACTCCTTAATCCACATCACCTACTTCACCCATCCTCCCACCCACTCCCTTCTGGTAACCATCAGTTTGTTCTCTATAGTTAAAGACTCTGTTTCTTGGTTTGTCTCTCTTTCTTCCCCCCCCCCCCGACTTTGCTTGTTAGTTTTGTTTCTTAAATTTGACATAGGATTGAGTTCCACATATGACTGTCTCTCTCTGACTGACTTATTTCGCTTAGCATAATACTCTCTGGCTCCATCCATGTTGTTGCAAATGGCAAGATTTCATTCTTTTTTATGGATGAGTAATATTCCATTGTGTATATATACACCACTTTTTAAAAAATTTTTATTTATTTGAGAGAGAGAGAGAGAGAACACAAGAAGGGAGAGGGACAGAGGGAGAAGCAGACTCCCCACTGAACAGGGAGCCTGACATGGGCTTGATTCCAGGACCCTGGGATCATGATCTGAGCCAAAGGCAGACACTTAACCAGCTGAGCCACCCAGGCACCCCTGTACTACTTCTTTATCCATTCGTTGATCAGTGGACACTTGGGCTGTTTCCACAGTGTGGCTATTGTAGATAATGCTGCTGTAAACATCAGGGTGCATGTACCCCTTTGAATTACTATTTTTGTATTCTTTGGGTAAATACCTAGTAGTGCAATTGCTGTATCATAGTGTAGTTCTATTTTTAACTTTCTGAGGAACCTCCATACTGTTTTCTACAGCAGCGGTACCGGTTTGCATTCCCACCAGCAGTACTAGAGGGTTCCTCTTTCTTCATATCCTCTCCAATACCTGTTGTTTCTTGTTGATTTAGCCATTCTGACAGGTGTGAGGTAGTTTTGATTTGCATTTGATTTCATTGTAGTTTTGATTAGCATTTCCTTGATGGTGAGTGATGTTGAGCATCTTTTCATGTGACTGTTGGCCATCTGGATGCCTTCCTTGGAAAAATGTCTATTCATGTCTTCTGCCCATTTTTTAATTGGATTACTTATTTTATTGTGTGTTGATTTGTATAGTTCTTTATGTATTTTGGAGGCTAACCCTTTATTAGATATGTCATTTGTAAATATTCTCCCATTCAGTAGGTTGCCTTTTAGTTTTGTTTCCTTCACTGTGCAGAAGCTTTTTATTTTGATTTAGTCCAATAGTTTATTTTTGCTTTTGTTTCCCTTGCCTCAAAAGACATATCTAGAAAGAAGTTGCTATGGCCATTGTCAAAGTTACTGCCTGTGTTCTCTTCTAGGATTTTTATGGTTTCAGGTCTCACATGTAGGTCTTTAATACATTTTGAATTTATTTTTGTATATGGTGTAAGAAAGTGGTCCAGTTTCATTTTTTTGCATATAGCTGTCCAGTTTTCCCAACACCATTTGTTGAAGAGACTGTCGTTTCCCCATTGGATGTTATTTCCTGCTTTCTTGAAGATTAATTGACCATATAATTGTAGGTTCATTTCAGGATTTTCAGTTCTTTTCTATTGATCTATGTGTCTGATTTTGTGCCAATACCATACTGTTTTGATTACTCCAGCTTTGTAATATAACTTGAAGTCCAGAATTGTGGTGCCTCCACCTTTGCTTTTCTTTTTCAAGACTGCTTTGGCTATTTGGGGTCTTTTGGGGTTCCATACAAATTTTAGGATTGTTTGTTCTAGCTATGAAAAATGCTATTGCTATTTTGATATGGATTGCATTAAATGTGCAGATTGCTTTGGGTAGTATGGACATTTTAACAATATTTGTTCTTCCCATCCATGAGCATGGAAGGTCTTTCCATTTCTTTTTGTCATCTTTAATTTCTTTCATCAGTGTTTTATGGTTTTCAGAGTACAGGTCTTTCACTTCTTTGGTTAGGTTCGTTCTTGGGTATCTTATTGTTTTTGATTCAGTTGTAAATGGACTTGATTCCTTAATTTCTTTTTCTGCTGTTTCATTATTAGTTTATAGAAACGCAACAGATTTCTGTACATTGCCTTTATATCCTGTGACTTTGCTGAATTCATGTATTAGTTCTAGCAGTTTTTTGGTGGAGTCTTTGGGATTTTCTATATAGTGTATCATGTGATCCGCAAATTACGAAAGTTTTACTTCTTCCTTGCTAATTTGGATGCCTTTTATTTCTTTTTGTTGTGTGATTGCTATGGCTAGGACTTCCAGTACAATGTTGAATAAAAGTGGTGAGAGTGGACATCCCTGTCTTGTTCCTGACGGTAGAGGAAACACTCTCAGTTTTTCCCCCATTGAGGATGATATTAGCTGTGGGTTTTTCATATATGGCCTTTATGATGTTTCCTCTAAACCTACTTTGTGGAGGGTTTTTATCATGAATGGGTGTTGTCCTTTGTAAAATGTTTTTTCTGTATCTATTGAAATGATCATATGGTTCATATCCTTTCATTAATGCGATGTATCATGTTGATTGATTTGCAAATATTGAACCACTCTTGCAACTCAGGAATAAATCCCACTTGATCGTGGTGAATGGTTTTTTAATGTATTGTTGGACTCAGTTTGCGAATATTTTGTTGAGGATTTTTGCATCTATGTTCACCAGAGACATTAGCCTGTAGTTCTCTTTTTTTGTGGTGTCTTATCTGGGTCTGTTATCAGAGTTTTGCTGGCCTCATGGAATGAATTGGGAATTTTTCCTTCCTTTTATATTTTTTGGAATAGTTTGAGAAGAATAGGTATTAACTCTTTAAATTAAAGTTTGGTAGAATTCGCTGTGAAGCCATCTAGTACTGGACTTGTGTTTGTTGGGAGTTTTTCATTACTGATTCCATTTCTTTGCTGGTTATCAATCTGCTCAAGTTTTCTATTTCTTCCTGTTTCAGTTTTGGTAATTTAGAAATAGAAACATATGTTTCTAGAAATTTATGCATTTCTTCGAGGTTGTCCAACTTGTTGGCATGTAGTTTTTCATAATATTCTCTTATAATTTGTTGTATTTCTGTGGTGTTGGTTGATATTTCTCCTCTCTCATCTGTGCTTTTACTTATTTGGGTCCTTTCTCTTTTTGATAAATCTGACTAGAGGTTTATTAATTTTATTAATTTTTTCAAAAAATCAGCTCCTGGTTTCATTGATCTGTTCTATTGTTTTAGTTTCTATATCATTTATTTCTGCTCTAATCTTTATTATTTCATTCCTTCTGCTGGCTTTAGGTTTCGTTTGTTTTTCTTTTTCCAGCTCTGTTAAGTATAAGGTTAGGTTGTTCATTTGAGATTTTTCTTGCTTCTTTAGGTAGTACTGTATTACTGTAAACATCCCTCTTAGGACCACTTCATTGCATCCCAAAGGTTTTGGACCCCTGTGTTTACATTTGTTTCCATGTATTTTTCAATTTCTTCTTTTATTTCCTGGTTGGCCCATTTATTTTTCAGTAGCTTATTATTCAACTTCCATGTATTTGTGGTCTTTCCAGATTTTTTCTTGTAGTTGAGTTCTAGTTCCATAGCATTGTGATCAGAAAAGGTGCACGGTATGACTTCGATCTTCTTAAATTTGTTGAGGCCTGTTTTGTGGCCTAATATGTGATCTGTCCTAGAGAATGTTCCATGTGCGCTTGAAAAGAATGTGTATTCTGCTGTTTTAGGATGGAATGTTCTGAATATATCTCTTAAGTCCATTTGGTACAGTGTGTCATTCAAAACTATTGTTTCCTTCTTCTGCTTAGATGTCCATACATTGATGTAAGTGGAGTGTTAAAGTTCCATAATATTATTGTGTTATTATCAATGAGTTCCTTTATGTTTGTTATTAATTATTTTACATATTTGGGTGCTCCTATGTTGGGTGCATAACTATTTACAATTGTTATATCTTCTTGTTGGATTGTCCCCTTTATGATTATATAGTGTCCTTCTTTGCCTCTTGTTACGGTCTTGTTTTAAAGTCTAGTTTGTCCAATGTAAGTATTGATTGTTACCCTGGCTTTCTTTTAACATCTATTTGCATGATAAATGTTTCTTCATTCTCTCACTTTCAATCTGCAGATGCTTTTAGGTCTAAAATGAGTCTCTTGTAGACAGCATTTGATGGTTCTTTTTTTTTTTTAATCCATTCTGACACCCTGTGTCTTTTGATTGGAACATTTAGTCCATTTACATTCAAAGTAATTATTGATAGATATGTATTTATTGCCATTTTATTACTTGTTTTGTGGTTGTTTCTGGAGATTTTCTCTGATCCTTTCTTTCGTCTTTCATGTTTTGCTGATTTTGTTTAGTGATATATTTGGATTTCTTTGTCTTTATTCTTTGCATGTTTATTAGTGGTTTTTGATTTATGGTTACCATTAGGTTTGTATATAACCTTTTCTGCATATAGCAGTCTGTATTAAGTTGATGGTTGTTTAAGTTTGAACCCATTCTTCTCCTCTCCTCCCCATGTTTTAGGTGTACATTATTGTATTTTACATCCTTTTTTGGTGAATTCTTTGACTGATTTTTTACAGAAATATTCATTTTTACCACGTTTGTGTTTCCTACCTTTATACTGTCACTTTTGGTCTCTATTTTCCACTCAGAGAGCCCCCTTTAATATTTCTTGCAGAGCTGGTTTAGTGGTCACGAACTCCTTCAGTTCTTGTTTGTGAAACTTTTTATCTCTCCTTCTATTCTGAATGATAGTCTTGCTGGATAGAATATTCTTTGCTGCAGATTTTTCCCATTTAGCACTTTCAATGTATCATGTCACTATCCTCTGGCTTGCAAAGTTTCTGTTGAAAAATCTTCTGCTAG